CAGGGGACGGCAGGGCACGGGGGAGACCGGGGACAGTGGGGGACAGTGTGGGGGACAGCAGGGGACGGCAGGGCACGGGGAGACAGGACTGCCACCTGCCCGCCTGGACTGGGCCCGGCCACAGACTCGGCCCGAAGCTGGCTTCGTGGACTCTCAGATGTCAGGAAGCATGGGCTTGCCCGTCCTTTAGGACATCATCCATCCCACAGGCTGAAGGCGGACACCATAGCTGCCTTCAACAGCGAACTCAACTCCAGGCCTCCCGGAGAAGCAGCGATGAGCATTTCCCGGTCAGCTGAGCCGGCCACGGGGTGGGCACCGCCTGGACGGCCCCTGAGGCTGGCCCCGGCAGGCCTGCGGGAGGAAGCGGAACCTGCAGAAGCAGGATGCTGGGTTTGGAGGAGGCAGCGGGGAGGAGGGAGGAGAGCCTGCCCGGCAGGGTAAAGCAGAAGCCGGCCAGCTCCCCCCTCCCCCCAGGGGGTGGGCCGAGCCTCCAGGCAGGGTCCTCCAGCTCCTGGTGATCACAGTAGGCTGAGGTGGTTTATGTAGATGTGGGGGGGGGGCCGTAATGCTTCTGTGTCCCCCTTTTAACATGGGCCAGCCTCTGATATCAGCCACTGAGGAGAGGAGAGAGGAAAAAAGACTTGGTGGTGGGATGAGGGGACAAAACGCACTGCGGAGATAACAGGGTGACTCAGCCTAGCCACTCAGGAGGCTGACACCCCCCAGGATTGTGGTGCAAAGCCAGCCCGGGCAGGGAAGTCCATGAGACCCGTCTCTCCAGTTAACGTGGCTCAAGAGGACTAGCCTTGAGCTCGGGGACAATGCCCAGGCCCTGAGTTCAAGCCCCAGTACTGGCACACACGTGCGCGTGCACACACACAAACACACACCCAATGTAGAGATATAAAGAGAATAAAGTGAAGTGTTAGTATGTAAAATAGTTTTCAAAGGTTCTGTGCAGCTGCCAAGGAAGATCTGCAGTTTTGTCCTGGTTCTTAGTAACCAAAGCGCAAAGGGAAACAGAATCATTTTAACATTCACTGTCCCTAGATAAACTACAGAACACTTAAAACTGAGGGGGGTGGGGGGGCTTTGTCTTCCCTTAAAGGGAACATTGTATCGTATCACCATTCCCCAGCTAGTCCTGCAGTAAATATAAATCAAGTGCCAGCGCTGTCCTTCAGTGCCAGGCAGGTGACTGGCATGTTTGCAGACCCACCCAGCATTCCCAAGTGTTCAGTTTCATGGTGGTAAGACATGCAGGAAGCATGGCTAAAAACAGGAGCCAGGCACCGGTGGCTCACGCCTGTAATCCTAGCTACTCAGGAGGCTGAGATCTGAGGATCACGGTTCAAAGCCAGCCCAGGGAGGAAAGTCTGTGAGACTCTTTTTTTTTTGGGGGGGGGGGGTCCGGTCGTGGGGCCTGAACTCTGGGCCTGGGCACTGTCCCTCAGCTCTTCAGCTCAAGGCTAGTGCTCTACCACTTGAGCCACAGCGCCACTTCCGGCTTTTTTCTTTTTGTTTATGTGGTGTTAAGGAATTGAAACCAGGGCCTCAGGCATGCAAGGCAAGCGCTCTACCACTGAGCCATCTTCCCAGCCCCTCTGTGAGACTATCTCCAATAAACCACTCGAAAACTGGAAGTGGATAGAGCCCTCACCTAGAGCTGAAGAGCTGAGGGACAGCGCCCAGGCCCAGAATTCAAGCACCACGACCGGCAAAAAAAAAAAACAGGAGTATGGTTCAAGTAATACAGTGCCAGCCTTGAGCAAAAAAACTAAGCCAGAGCACAAAGCCCTGAGTTGCAGGCCTCCATACCAACACAAAAATTAAAAAAGAAACAGCTTTGAATTTTGCTCTGAAGATCGTGGCACCTGTCCCCGGGGCCCCAGCGAGGCACGCGTCCCCCACCGCTTGACTCTGTGCTTGACTGCATGGCCCCCATTTCCTGTTGCTACCCATGACATGTCGGCAGACGTGAGCTGAGGCTCATCAGCGTGGACACGTGGAGGGGTTTCCCTTGGAATGTCCCTTCTTGGAACCCAGCTGTGAGAATCTCGAAGCCAGCACCGGGAACACCAGGCCCCCGCTGATGGCTGCCCTGCCCTGCCAGTCCCTCACCAGAGGTCATTCTAGGCCCTCCAGCCACCTAGCACCAACAGCACACGGGCAAAACCGCCTTGGCATGGGGATCCTGAGAGCAGTAAGTTTATGATGTTTTAAGCCACTACATTGTGAAGGGATTTTTTATGCGCCAGTGGACGGCTGACACGGAGAAAGCCGTGATAAGAACCCCTGGATCAAGGAGCAGGTGAGGATATGTGAAGAGCCATGTGAGCTGTGACTCCGGGAAACCGAGGCCTCCACATCCCAGGCTGGTCAGAAGCCTGGCCTTCCAAGTGGAGGAGCTACACAGAAAGTTTCTGAGGAGGGTGCAGGCCCCCAAAGGGACCCCTGCAGTCCAACCCCTCCACATAAAGCCCACCTGGCCCACTGTGGGGATGGGAACCCCGCTGCGTGCTTCTGGTCCAGGGCACCCTGAAACGACATCTACCTTTGGATAGACCCCGGCTGCTTTCGCAGATGCTCAAACCTGCAGACAAGTCTCAGCCTAGACCAGCCAACTGCGGAGATGCTGGCCAGCAGCCTCGCCCACCACCCCACCTCCACAGGAAGCCAAGGATTGCCAAATGTGAGAAGAACCCAACTGTCAGCCGCTTGTGTTCCGCAGGCCTCCCCTCCAGCCTCTCCTGAAGTGCTCAGCTGCAGAAGTGGAGAGCCACAGAAGGCGGTTAGCGTGACTGCAGCGGCGTGCTTACAAAACGAGGACCTGAGGAACAGAGAAGAGCCATGGATGGCGGGAATGGCAACGGACCAGTGGAGGGGCCTAGACCGTGGCGGGCGCCTCTGTGGGTCCCTCAGCCAGTGTTGGGGGGCTCTTTGGTATTTTCTGTGTGGGCAACGTCACGTTACTCACCCACTGGCTCACCACTTCCTTGTCTCCAGTATGGGCAAAAATGGCTTTAAATGCGGGAAGTAGAAATAAGTTGGTAAGAACATAACTTGTGTATTTGATCCGGCCCTCTGAATGCTGGAGCGCTAAATCCTTAACCTAACGATCAAATTAAAATGCACCTATCCAATAGGTATTTATTAAGTGTGCACAACATGCTATCTCCTGTATTAGCCATTATGGTTATGGGGGGGCGCTTTGAGCTCGGGACAGTGGTTCATGCCTAATTTAATACTAGCTGCTTAGGAAGTAGAGGAAGGGAAGGCTGTGGTTTGAGGCTAGGCAGGACAGGAAGTTTTTTTTTTTTTGGTCCGGTCGTGGGGCCTGAACTCTGGGCCTGGGCGCTGTCCCTCAGCTCTTCAGCTCAAGGCTAGCGCTCTACCACTTGAGCCACAGTGCCACTTCCAGCTTTTTCCTTTTTGCTTATGTGGTGCTGAGGAATTGAACCCAGGGACTTGAGCATGCAAGGCAAGTGCTCTACCACTGAGTCAGCTTCCCAGCCCATCTCAACCAACAGCTGTCCTGGTGGCATATATTAACCATCCCAGATTATGGCGGAAAGTGTAAATAGGAGACTGCAATCCAGGAAGGCCCAGGCAACAAGCAAACTATTATCTCAAAAATAAGCAGAGCAAGCCAGGCTCACGCCTATAACCCCAGCTACTCTGGAGGCTGAGATTTGAGGATTACAGTTTGAAGCCAGCCCTGGCAGGCTTTTATCTCCAATTAACCCTCAGAAAAACCAGAAGTGTCACTGTGACTCAAAGACGTAGAGAGCTAGCCTTGAGCAAAAAGCTCAAGGACAGCACCCAGGCTCTAACTTCAAACCCTAGAATGACTAAATAAATTAAAAATAAAATCACAACAAAGAAAATAGAAGCCCACAGGGGATGATGAACTCAAGGGCAGAGGTGGGACAGGAGGGGACTTCGTGAGGCTGGCAGGAAAGGGGCCAGCAGACCTAGTGGCGAGGCGGGCAGATCGAGTTTCTGTTAGCTGGGAAATAAGCAGAGATGGACTAAGTTCAATGGACTGTGTTCACATAATCAGCCTGGTCTCTCTCTCTTGCCCTGAAACCAGAGAAGCGGCATATTCCGGAGTGGTGTGCTCTGAGAGCCCAGCTGCCTCTTCACATTTCATTTCTGTCCATGGATGCTTTTTTGTGGAAGGTCGTGTTTCTATCACTGCAGAATTACAGGACAGTGTTTGTCACCTGCTGCTTCTCTGCTTAGGAAACACATGAAAGAATATCTCTTGACAAAAGGGCCTGTGTTTGGGCAGGTGGATGTATGATTGGGTAGCACGGGGGATAACAATGAAGTTTCCTTCTCAGATTCCCCTCAGTGATGGCGGAAAAGTTCCTAAAGTCGACAGCAAAGTCTAGAGCCCATTAAAAAAAGGAAGAAAAAAGGAAGCCTGAGAGAAGGACCGCGTATGCAAGGCAGTATTCAGAAGAACAAACAAGTGGAGGTCCTTGGAGGAGCGGTGGGCCTGGCGGCCAGGCCCCGCCCGTTAGACGTGTGTTTCCAGTTGGTTTGTTCCCTCAGTGCCTGGCAGGTGGGCGGGTAGCCAGTGCTTCAAAGTGAGGCCATCTCATGTGCCAGAAGACCCGTCCCAGATTCCGCCTTCCTCCTCCAGCTAATCTCTGGGACCTGGCCGCTCCCCAGGCTGCGTGCCAGCCCCTGGGTGCACGCAGGCTGCCCGTGGCCGACAGGCAGCTGTCCCTGCCCCTGTCTTCTGCTATCCATAGCTGACCTCTGTGGAAGGGGCAACCTGTGGCCCAGTTTTCTTTCACTTGGTCGGAGCCCGAGGCTGCCCTCCAGCTGGCCCAGCCTCAGCCTGCCTTCCACCGACTCCACCAGTTCCCTGAATCATGGCCACCATGTCCATCTGGCCCCTGGCCAAGAGGCCTGAGCACTGCAGACTGACCGACTCTTGTGCCGTCCTGGGGTCTAAGAGGCTCACAAGTGAGTGCCGCATTTTCTCCCAGGTCTCCCTCAGTAGATGCCAATTGCCCAACGCCCACCCTTCCTCCTGGCTCCGGGACAACTCCTTTAACACGACTCCTTTAACACTGGCCCTTTCCGTTTCACCTCTCCCTTCCTCCCAGGAGCTCCGCCCCTGGGCCCCAGGCTTAATCCAGCCCTGGGGTTGGAGGGTATTCTTTCCCATGCTAATCAGTCTCTGCAGTCTTCCTACTTTAGCTTCTTGACCTTAGCTTCTATTAATACCTAGGATACTCACCCTTTCAAAAGGATGGCAATCCAGTAGCTACAGTGTCTCCATGCTCTCTTCAAATACAAAAAATCGTGAGGGTTTAGTGGCTGCCTTTTATGCTTTTTGAAGGTCTTCCCTCTCTTGGCGTTCACTAGCTCCCTAAATTAGACCTCTGCTTCTTCTCTCCTGACTGCTTTTTCTAGAGTTCCACTAAAACATTTTTTTATTTATTTTTGGCTAGTAGACCCTTTTCTTCCAAGTCCTCTCATTTGTTCTAATTATAAACTAGCACACATGGTGACATACAGAACTTTCCCCAGGCTGGATTCCAGAAAGCGGTGACAAGCAAAGAAGAAGGGCATCACAGAAGCTGGATTTAGTCTAGGGTACAGCAAATTGCCTTTGCTGCTGCATTTTAAAAATCAGCAGATTCCGTTTTACTTTGAGCTGAGCAGCCCGCAGGCTCCCGCTGCTGGATGATCACATTTTTCGGGGAGGTAACAGGCTGTGGTCCTGGGTGTCTTGCCATGTGTCAAAATCAACTCAAGCTGGGTGCTCCTTACTCCTGTAATCCTGGCTACTAAGGAGGGAGATAGGAGGATCTTGGTTTGAAACCAGCCTAGAAAAATCTTCAGGGATGACATGGGTCATTTTTGGGAAGCATAAGTAGGATCTAAGTACAGGTCATCTGGGACACACAAAATGAGAGACCTATTTGAAAAATAGCTAAAGCAAACTACTGGAAGCGTGACTCAATGGCAGAGCTCCTGCCTAATAAGCACAAACTCCTGAGTTCCGTTGAGCCCCGGTCGCAGGACCCTCACCAAGAAGACCACCGAGAGTCAGGCCTTCTGAAATGCAGAAGCGAAGCTTTATTCAGGCGGACTGCACCTCGGGCCTCGTCCGACACACCCACACAGCGGAGGTTAGGAGGAAGGCCCCCAGCTGAAATTCCACAGGGCTTATAAAGGCAAAAACCACAAAGTTACAGCAACCAGATGTGTTAACAAGACACCCTAGGGCGGTCAGGGGTGATGGGGGTTATCAGACCATCTGGGCCAGGGCAGTGGGGGTATCTGTGAAGTGAGGGGAGTTTGTGGCCACAGATAACTGTCCTTGGATTTATGTGAGCTTGGGTTAACTTCAACACAGACAGGTCAGTTCCTGGAATTTATGTTTGCTCTGGGTCACTCATAATTTAACATAAATGACAGAATGGCTGCTGCCTCAAGATGGAGTTACCTCAACTCTTCCGTACCACCACCAGATTGCTTTGTTTTTTAAAGTCCAACTTCATCAGGCAGGACCAGTGGCTCCCGCCTGTCATCCTAGCTACTCAGATGTAAGAGTCTCAAGGCCTTTCCTGCCCCGGCTGGCTTCGAACCGCGATCCTCAGCTCTCAGCCTCCTGAGTAGCTAGGATGACAGGCGGGAGCCACCTGTGCCGGCTGGAACCACTCTCAAAGCTCCTGGAGTGTGAGCCAATTACCTTACACCTTCCCGCGCTTCCCGCTGGCTGCAGGCCGGCAGAAGCCCTCGCCCACCGCGGTCAGATCGCTGAGGACTTTTGGTTCTTCCTACGAAAGGAGCAAACGCTTCCACCCAAGAAGTTAAGCTGGAGGAGAGGGCGGAGGGGGGAAGAGGGCGGGGTCAGGGCAGGGAAAGGGGGGCAGGAGAGAGGGGTGGGGGAGAGGAGGGCGAGAGGGAGGAG